TTAGGGTCTAGGGAGCCTAAACCCTAAACCCTAAACCCGAGCTTTGCTGTGGCAGCTTCTCGAGATTCCAATTGCTGCAGCCAGAGGGCTTAGCCTAGTACATCTAGCGCCTCCACGATACTGTCTATTAGGGTTTAGGGATTTAGGGTTTAGGGTTCAGGGTTTAGGGTTTAGGGTTTTGGGTTTAGGGTTTTGGGTTTTGGGTTTTGGGTCTAGGTTTATTTCCAGTATATGGTAAGAACCCCATGCCTTTTTTGGTAGGTTACGTAAGACTCCCACAAAACGAGGTTCTCAAAGCCCTAATCCCTAAACCCTCAACTCCGTCCACAGGTCCCCATGGTCAGCACAGCAAGAGAAAGCCCCCAAACCACAAGCAAAAACCACCGGACCCCAGGTGTAGGACCCCAGGGTTAGTTCGGTATAGCCGCAAACCCTAGTCCCTAGACCCTAGACCCTAAACCCTAAACCCGAAACCAAGCTCTAAACATTAGGAACCTTCAGCCGCAAAACAAATCCCTGGGTTCGGAAGACCCTGGCACTCCCTGCAGCTGCCCAGGAAACAAGGGCTTGGGGTTTAGGGTTTAGGGTTCAGGGTTTGCGGCTTGTAGGGTTTCAGGTACACATAAATCCCAAACCCTCAACCCGCATTGGGCTCCCACTGTAGTGTTTCGGGTTGCAGGGCCATTGCTTCGGGCGCGGGGTCTACAACCCTTAGAAACAAAGACGCCCAAATCCCCAAACCCTGTATGCCTTGACCGAAAAAAATCCTAAAGCCCTAAACCACCCTGAAACAAGTCCTTAAGAACCCTCCCCAAACGAAGTCCTAAAGCGCTTAAGAACCCTCAATACACCTTGAGAACCCTCCGGAAGAAGGACTCCCGACTCTAGGGCTTGGGCTTCGCAGGGTTTAGGGTTTAGGGTTTAGGGTTTAGGGTTTAGGGTTTAGGGTTTAGGGTTTAGGGTTTAGGGTTTAGGGTTTAGGGTTTAAAAAACTTATTATATGGTCCCTTAAGATGGCCCCTTGCCTTCCTTAAAGGGTTCTGAAGTCTGGGCCCTCCGGTTTTATGGATATATATATATATATTTTTTTTTATTTTTTTTTTTTGGGGGGGGGAGGGGGGGGGGGGGGGGGCCGGGGGTACCCTTATAAGGGCCCATATATGAAGGGAGGATGTAACTTAAACCCTAAGCCCTAAACCGCAAAAGAGTCTCTACAGCTTCTCACTGGTTTTGAGGTACTTCTTGGAACTGAAAATGGACAACAAGATCGTGGCTCGGCTCAAGTAGGGTTTAGGGTTTAGAGTTCGGGTTCGGGGTTTTGGGATTTTGGGGTGTAAGGTTTAAGGTTTGGGGGTTTAAGGTTCGGGGTTTGGGGAGGTAAACCCCAAAAACACCGTGCACCTCTTTAGCAATATCCCGAACTAAGCCCTAACCTTCAGGCCCTAAACCCTGCCTCGAAATCTACTTGAAGAGTTACAACCTCGAGTGCCTGGGCTCCTGAACTCCCCCAAAACCCAAAACCCTGCTTGACGGTTCAGGCTAGTTGTAGCCCGATGATGGGTTTAGGGCCAGAGTTTAGGGTTTACCTTGGCCCCCGAAAAAGCATGCCTCTTGCGAGAAACCTAGATTGTGCTCACAAAACCCACATGTCAGAGGAAAGGGGCGTATCTGTGAAAAGGGCCTATTTCTTGAGGTGTGGAGATTCGAACTAGCCTGATGTTCCTTCATAGCTGAACATCAGCCGAAATGTACACCTGGCTCCATGCCCTTGTAGCGCTTTTTCTTCGGTGGTCCCAGCTCCATCAGCGGGTTCGGGCCTCAGAACGGCAGAATCCGCATTCAAACTTCAGAAAAGGAACGCAGTACTGAACATTCTGGATCGGAAATGTGCAATTTCACCATACGCCTGCATAAACTCAAATGCAGCCCCGTGTGTGGGTGTGAAGTGCTCAAGGCCACTGTAGTGTGTGCTGCAAATATTTGTACTGTGGCACTGTGGCCATGGTGCCTTCGTTGCAGGGGCTTGCGAAGTCTTGGGATGCCGTTCCGGAACTTCGGACGAGAATCCGGGACACTGGATCCATCTTCCAGGGAGTGGATACCAGCATCCCAGCTGTGGTTACCAAGGAGGCAATCCACAACAAAGATGTTCTCCTGCCTGCGTTGAAGTGTCAGCGTGGACATCGAAAGCTGTTCAAGATTGGCCAGGCTGAACAGCAGTCTCTAGCCTGGCACGCCGATGTAAAGAACATATGTACACACAGGTGTGATGCGCAGGTCTGTTTCCAGTGTTAACATACTCACACGAGCTAGCCGGAAGTTAGTGTGCTGGATTCTAGAGCTGTTTCTATGGGTGGGGGTTTCTTATTGTGATAGCCCATGCTCCAGGGATTCCGAGGGTACTTCATGTGAATTGTTGTTGCACCCAAGTCTCTAACTCTAAAAGGCTTAAATTCCTGAAAACCTGAATTTCCCAGAAAGGGGTGTATTTCAGAAGAAGGGGCGTATTTGCATGATAAACCGATGCCTTTCCAAAAACGGAAGGCCTACTGGGTTCAAGGTAGGGTTTAGGACGGAGACATTCCCAAAGCGTCCATGCACCTATAGGAGGCAAGCTTTGTATAAATTTGTTTGTGTACATATATAGCGACGGGTACGGCTCACTTAGACATGTTGGCGACTCCATGGTGCGTCTTTTTGGGCGGGGGTTGCCAGCAACAAAAACCTAAAGCACCCCTCAACCTGCAACCCTAAACCCTAAAGCCTAACCTTACATGTTATATTCTTCCCCAGCCTCGCTCCATTTATCACCCTACCTGAGAAGCAGAAGCACGAAGTACTACGAGCTTTCAGGGTTACGTTTCCCACCTTCCCCAAGCCCCAAAACCCCAAACCCCAACCCCCAAACCCCAAACCCTAAACCCTCATCTACGAATTGCTTAAGAGCCCCCCGAAAAAAATAGAAATATTCTTCCTTATGAAGGGTAATACAGGGATTATTTTTATTTTTTTAAAATTGGGGGGGTTCTTAAGCAAATAGTAGTTATAAGAACCCTTAGAAGGTTCAATTCCTGTCCCCCTCAAACTGCTTTGAGCCCCTAATACCAAAAACCCGAAACCCGCAAACTTGCAAAGTTATCAGGTTAAGCCCTAAAACACTAAACCCTAAACCCTACCCCTGAACCCTAAACCCTAAACCCTGAACCCTAACCCTAAACCCTGCACCGAAGAATCGTGAGCTATGAGGCCCATGAGCTGTCCGAAACGCGCACATTCGACGTTTGCTACTGCGACGGCGCCTGCCAGACCGCATCGAATTGGTTGAAGGCGCCCCTCCCCCTCCCTCTAATCCTTGAACCCTAAACCCCAGCTTGGGGCCTTGGGTGTAGGGGTTTAGGGTTTGGGCTTTGGGGTTTAGGGTTTAGGGTTTAGGGTTTCCACCGCTTTAGTATGCAGGGGCCCTTCCCTCTCCTTTTGCGGGAACGGGGGCTGGGGGTAGGGCAGGGGTCGAGGGTTGAGTGGAAGCCTTGCAGCTCGAGGGGTCTAAGCTTTCCAGGCTTTTTTCGGCTCCCTAGTCATGGGGGCTGCGGATTAATGCGGGTAACCGAAATGAAACAGTACACTAAGGCGCACTAGAAAGCCGGACTCCGGAAAATTCCGAAGTTTGACGCTGGAATCACGCAAGCTTGAAGGTCAAAATGTTCAAGGCCTGCTTGTTCAGAGCTATTTGTCGTTTTTGGCTCCCTGCCCCCCCCCCCCCCCCCCTTCATCCCCGGGGCGGCTTCCTTTCGGCTTCTGAAACTGGCGGGAAAGGGTTTAGGGTTTAGGGTTTAGGGTTTAGGTAGGGTTTAGGGTTTAGGGTTTTGTGTCCTGCTTGGGCCTTTAGTAGCCTCCCAAAGGCTCTTTTGATTCATTTACTCCAACTCGGCATGTCGGCTGTTTAGAAAATTGGACAGATATCTTGGGAAACTCACAAAGATATCTGCAATTTCTATCTATTGGGTCTTGAGGGTTTAGGGTTTAGGAGTTCAAAGGTGGGCACCATCGCCATCTCCCGCGCGGCGGTCATCCCCGGTCCAGTCTCAGCGGAGGTGGTGTTGGGGGGGGGGGAAGTTCGGGTTTAGGGTTGAGGGTTGACGGTTTAGGGTTTAGGGTTTGGGGTTTAGGGTTGATTTTTTCTTTTGGTTCTAACTCTAACAGGTTTTACATGGGAGGTGTGGGAAGGGCTTGTTGTGGGGTTTAGGGCGTTCAGGTCTTGCAAAGCTTCTCTTCGGGGCTCAGAGGTTCGGCCCTGTTTGGGCTGTTGCCTTGAGCCTGTTTGAGCTGACGGGGTCTAGAGGGCTGACCTTAAAGCCCCTAAACCTCCGAGGCCTGATTTTAGGCCGAAGAAACGAAGACATACTCTGAACTATGCCAAAGCTGGGCCCGACCTTAAACCCTAAACCCTAAACCCTAAACCCTGAACCCTGAACCCTGAACCCTAAACCCTAAACCCTAAACCCTAAACCCTAAACCCTAAACCCTAAACCCTAACCTTATGACGGCTTACGGATGCCCTAAGTGGCTGCAACCCTTTTTTGAGGGATTTGTGCTCGAGCCTTGGCGCTGTACTTGCCAGGCCCTTAAAGGTTTCGTTTAGGGCTTAGGGTTTAGGGTTTTGGGTTCTTGGTTTAGGGTTTATATAGGGTCCTAAACCTATATTTAGATAGGGTCCTAAACCTACGTGCTCCCCAAATAACCGAACATTTCTCCATGAACTCTTATCGTCAAAAATATAGGGTCGCTGAACCCTGAACGCGAATTCCTAAACCCTGCATAACTTCCCAACGAGGACCTTTAGATCTTTGCATCTTGTGGCCTGCGACCCCTAAGCCCTAAAACCTCAACCCCTCTTCAACCCTAAACACCCTGATTTTAGGGTTTAGGGTTTAGATAGGATGTAGGGTTTAGGGTTTAGCGTTTAGGGTTTAGGGTTTAGGGTTTAGGGTGTAGGGCTCGACATGGACGCCATGGATTTCATGATCGAGCCACTGTTTGCCGACGTGGGAGATGCTGCTGAGGGCACTTCATCTTCCCAAGGCCCAGTGCCGCGTGTGGTGCTGGAGGGCGTGCCTGTCTCTGATGTCAACGAGCATGACAAGGTGCGCTACAACTTGCAGCTGAGCTGCAGTGGATTCTTTGAAGCTGCCCTGCAACCGTATAAGCGTAGACTGCAGTCGTACTCTCATGTACACTGTACAGATAGCCATTGCATGGTTCAGAGAGATGCAGGACTATTTGCTTAGAACATTCTAAAGCATAATAATCCCTTTATTGCCCCTTTTGGAAAGAATAGTTTTTCTCTTTATGGGGTTCTGAAGCAATTTTAGTAGAGGAACAACCAGTGGCAGTACATGGTCGACCCGGCCGAGCCCACGCGCCTCATCTTGCGCGAGGGTGGCCCGCATCGGCCAGACGACTACCGGCAACTCGGCTGGGTTGCTGATCGGGTTTAGGGCTTAGGGTTTAGGGTTTAGGGTTTATAAGGGAGGAATGATAAGATAGAGGTTGCCACTGTAAGTAAACGATTCTATACGCTACACCCTATACTGTTTACTCACATGCCCATATATTGTGGAACTTGTTTCCCCTAAGGGTCCATGCACCTAATTAGTATGTGCTTGGGGCCCCAAAATCCTTATCTAGGAGGTCTACTTTACGACCCAAGCATACCCTATTTAGGTACATGGACCCTTAAAGCTTCAAGTTCCTGACAAGGGCAGCCTAGACCCTAAACCCTAACCCCTAACCCCTAAACCCTAACCCCTAAACCCTAAACCCTAAACCCTAAACCCTAAACCCCCCTGCAGGGAAGCCTTGGAGAGGTGCAGCACGTCCCGCTGGGTGGATCGATTTCGGGGCTTCTACCGCGTGGTCAACGTCCCGCGCCACCACACGGCGTGGATGCGGGAGGCGTCCCAACTGGCCGTACAGAAACTAGGACCGGGAGTAGGCCCGTTTTTCCCTTTTTTAGGGTTGGGGTTCCCTTATAATCCCCTTAAAACCAAAAAAGGGTACCCTTTCTTTTCCTAGGTTACTCCCGGGTCTAGGAAATCTGGCTTCTCGCCCCTCTTCCAGAACGATCTCGATGCAGCCGTTGCAGATACGGCATGTGGCGATACCTTTCATTCCTGCGACGCCGATGTGCCAGGCACATGCTACTTTGTCCGCACGGAACGTGTCAGCCTCAAGGATGGGATACATGGTGTAGGGCCCTACGCCACGATGCGATCGATCATCGAGTCTGCCGTAACCGCTCGGGGCGGACACCAGGGCGTTGATGAGGATACACAGCAGCTGAAGCTGTATCTTTTCCCATGGAGGACCGACCTCGATGCATTTCGCGAGTTTCGCGTCTTCGTTGCCAATGGCCGGGCCACCGCCTTCTCGCAACAGAAGTTGTACGTGGCCAACCCGATCCTCGCGCCCTTGTCTGAAAGAGACCGCACCCGAGTTGTGCAAAACTGGCTCGGGCGGCTGCTGCCGTACATTACGCACACCATTGTGCCTTGGTAGCTGAATGAGTACACTTTTCTACACGTTTTGGGAGACTATAACTTTAACCCCCTATAGAACTGAAAGAGTACACATTTTGGGGGGGCTTATTGACCTCAGCAACTTAGGTGCCTTTGTTGGAGGACCTCATGTCAAGCTTCGTCCTGGACATCGTTCTCCTTGGACCACCTGCCGCCTACAAGGACGATGCAGACTCAGTGAATGTGGACTTGATGCGCCCAGAATCTTGGAAGCCCAGCGGTACCCTTTTTTCCAGTTTTTTTTGGTTCAAGGTCCCCTGAAGTAAAGTAACCAACCCCCCCCAAAAAGGGTAATTCCTAATAGTAATTTCCCTTAATAGAATATGGTTACTGGCCTAGCAAGGATTTGCTTGAGCCGTACTTCATCGAGGTGAACACCTTTGGGTTTGCCTACGCTTCCGGCTCCTCTCTCTTTTCTTGGGTTGAGGACTACGCGCTGCTCTATGGACTTGATGCAGGCATGGCCGACGGTGCCGTTGCTGTGCGATACACGACGCCATAGAGAAACATCCGTCGGCTCCTTGACTACTGCAACTTTAGATCCTAAGCCTTCTTGGGTTTATTGGTTTTCTGAATAAGGCAGCTAAAACAATTATAACTGGCCTCGTAAGTGCAGCCAAGTGTAGATCTTCCCTTTCGAGGGTGTCAACGCATGAACATCAAAGGGCCAACCCTAGAAAACTGTGTTCACAGAAGTTCCTGCCAACAAAAACTGCGTGAGGTCATGGGTTTTCTGGGTCGCTCCCCTAAACCCTACCTGGAGCCTTCAAATTACGTGAATAAACAGCCTTTCCATGAAAACAGCCTTTTTCAAGACATGGACCCAAAAACAGCCCGTGGGGCGGAATTTGGGTAGGCAGCCCAAAAAAAGGCTATTTTGAAATTTGTGACGGTGTTCAACTCGAGGACGTTTGCTTGCTACGTGTTCTGCGGATTCTTGCTTGTTGAAGCAACGAAAGCCTGAAGCCACAAGCAGAAACCCTGAATTTGCAAACTCAAAAAACACGCAAGCCTGAAGCCAAGCCATGAAAGCCTGAAGGAAAAGGCGGAAATGGCCGGAAAAAAGGCGGAATTAGCCGGAAAAAGGCGGAATTTGCCGGAATTCGTTTCTTGTCTCGCTGAAACAGCCGAGAACCCTGACCTGCAGCTTCCGATTGTCATGGCATCAGAAGCAAACCTTTGGTTGACATGCGCTACGAAGAAGAAACCCTGAAGCATTGTCTTGCTTTGCATGTGGACGCGCGTGCCCTCAATAGGAAAAAGGCAGTTTTTGTTTGTCATGGCTGTTTTGGTCAAAAATGCTTGTTTTTGAGAATCTTGGCTGTTTTGGGTGTAAGTTTGGCTTGTGGCCATTTTTTCGCGTACACAGAGGGTCCGGGTAAGCCCTAAACCCTAAACCCTAAAACCTAAACCCTAAACCCCAAACCCAGCAGATAGGTTGTACACAGCGAGGTATGTCATTGCTCGCAGGAGGTCACCTACTTTGAGAGCTGCTTAAGCGCCTTTAGCCGGAATCCCTGAAGCCCTGAAACCCTCCAAGCCTGACACCAAACCCCAAACAGCAGGGTCTAGGGTTTTAGGGTTTCGGGATTCGGGTTTACTTCGCGATTTGGAGGGTTTCGCGGATTAGGCTTCGGGGATTCAGGGCAGGGGTTCAGCGGTTTATGATTTAGGGTTAGATTCTCCCATGTGTAGCGCCCACTGTGCTTTTTATTTGCTCTTTTCCAGTCGGGGCTCCAAACCCGAAACCCCTGAGCTTTCTCCTGAAATTGTCCCTAAACCCTAAACCCTAAACCCTAAACCCTAAACCCTAAACCCTAAACCCTAAACCCTAAACCCTAAACCCTAAACCCTAAACCCTAAACCCTAAACCCACCACAGGAGTCGAATTTCCCGGCGTTGGAGGTGGTGAATGTGCGTGCAGCCAAGCGGGCTCTGCGGGTCTAGGAAGCTTAAACCCCTGAACCCTTAACCCCTACTTAGGGCTTAGGGCTTAGGGTTTAGGGTTTAGGGTTTAGGGCTTAGGGCTTAGGGCTTAGGGTTTAGGGTTTAGGGTTTAGGGTTTCGGGTAAACCATCAACCGTCCCAATCCATCAACTTGCTAAGCCCTTGAAGCCCGGCAGCACCTAAGCATTTGCCGAGATGGTCTTTAGCCGGAAGTGTTTGTCTTCTCTTCCCTTAAATCCCCAAGCCCTAAACCCCTGAACCTTAAACCCTAGCCCTAAACCCTAAACCCGAAATCCCCAAACCCTAAACCCTAACCCCTGAACCCCTACATCCCAAAAGCTGTCATCCCAGGAGCTGGAAGCCCCAAATCCCCTTCTAAAGCCCTTAACCCTCAAGCTTAAAGGCGCCAAAACCCTAACCCCCTCCGCCCCTAAAAGCACCCCCCCCCCAAAAAAAAAAAAAAAAAAAAAAAAAAAAAAAAAAAATAAACAAAAAAAAAAAATCAAACAAGCCCTCTAAACCCTAAACCCCTATAAAACCTAAGCCCTATGATCCCCAAGCCCTGAATCTTCAGCCCTATAAATCCCCAACAAAACCCTATGAACCCTTATAAGCCCTATAAACCCTATAAACCCTCTACACCCTATGGAACCCTATAAATCCTATACGCCCTATAAACCCTACAAACCCAATAAACTCTACAAACCCTGTAAAACCCGATAAGCCCTAACATACCGTAAAAACCTTAGAAGCCCTAGACACCCCAAACCCTAAACCCAAAACACTATAAACCCTAAATGCCCTTCACAGAGGCCGGGGGTGCTACGCCTGGGCTCCGAGCCCAACGACTACCCGGACGACCGAGGCCTTCATGTGGGGGGTTTTTGGGGGTTCAGGGTTACCCTAAGGCTGCAAGGACCCTCGTACAGAGGGACCAGTATGTCCTAGGGAGGGTCCTGGGGTCTCGATTTCTGGGGTTTTGGCGGGGGCCAGGAGCCTTCGGGAAGGTATAAATCTAAGCCGTCCCTAACCGTTCTGCCTCTCGCACGGTTCCGCCTGACAAGCGCCGGTCTTCAAGAGCGCGCACGTCACACGGTGATGCGCAACTCAACACGCGAAGCGGAACCCAGCGCGAGGCGGGATGGTTATGGAAGCCTTCGACTAAAGGTTTGGGGATTTCGGGTTTAGGGTTTACGGTTTTGGGAAGGGATTTACGGTTCAGGGTTTGGGGATTTCGGGTTTAGGGATTTATGGATTCAGGGTGTAGGGTTTAGGAGATTTAGGGTTTAGGGTTAAAATTTATGGATTTAGGGTTTGGGGTTTAGGGCGTTTCGGATTTATAAGGGTTGAGGGTTTTCGGGATTTAGCGTTTAGGCTCTCGGGGTTTAGAGGCTCAGGGTTGGGGGTGTCGGGGCGGTTTCAGGGTTTAGGGGTTTAGGGTTTTAGGGTTTAGGGTTCAGGGGTTTACCTGAACAAGAGCATCATGGGATTAAGACTCGTACCCCTAAGCATGTACCCCAAGAGGTTCCCTTAACATACTCCTTCTATTCCTTTAGAGGATCCTTAGGGTTTAAGGTTTAGGGTTTAGGGTTTAGGGTTTAGGGTTTAGGGTCCGAGGTAGAGTCCTCTGAAAGCAGGTGGAACAACCAACTCTTTGCGCAGCGGCGGGCAGCTGAAGCTGCTTCGGGACGACCGTCGCCCGGCAGCACGGGTTTAGGGTTTAGGGTTTGGGGTTTGGGGTTTGGGGTTTAGGGTTTAGGGTTTAATTAAGGTTTAGGATTTTGGGTTTAGGGCTTTGAAACCAGCTCTCAAGCAAGGAAGGCGCAAGATTTGGCTGTAGGGGTAGGGGGGAAAGGGACTTCTTCCCCTAAACTGCAAACCTCAACCCCATTTCAGCGCCTGGACCCGCATTGCCCCAGGAACGTTCTGGGACCCTAGACCCTAAACCCTAAACCCTAAACCCTAACCCCTAAACCCTAAACCCTCAACCCTAAACCCTAAACCCTAAACCCTAAACCCCAGGGTTGAAGGCCCAGTTCTTTCGCTTTGACATGATGAAGCATCTCTGTCTCCAACCGGGCTCTTTAAAAAATCAGGCTGGTCGGTTTTAGGGCTTATAGGGTTTAGGGCTTTTCGGCCATTTAGGGTTTGGGGTTTAGGGTTTTGGGTTTAGGGCGGGCTCTGGATCAGATGCCCAACTAGGGGTGCACCCCAGGCCCACTCATCAAACCCAAAGCCCGAAACCCTAATCCCTACACTGCCCAACACTAACCCTACACCCTACCCTACACCCTAAACCCTAAATCCTACACCCTAAACCCTAAACCCTAAACCCTAAACTGCCCAACCTCAAAGAGACCTAAACCTCCTCCTTGCCAGCTGCCAAGGCAAGATCGCAGGGGACCCGGACACTTAGGTTCGACAAGGGTTTCGGGTTTAGGGTTTAGGGTTTAGGGTTTGGGGTCTAGGGTTTAGGGTTTAGTGCTGGTGTGAACCAGCAGGCTGAGCAGAAGGAACTAGTGGAGTGATCAATTCCCTAGCCCCATTCCCAACCATGGCTCACACAATAGGCGGAGATCTTTTACGCGCAGAAGCAACAGATCAACAAAGGAACAAAAAAGGTCTCTGCAGTGTAGGGCTACGGCTCCTACAGTATGATATGTACATGTTTAAATATGTGGCATGCTCAAGGCTTGAGTTTGGGCCTAGAAGCCACAAGGAAAAATGCGCACTGCAATTGACTACAGAATGACATGTACAGGAGTAGACTTCAACACTCCTCCTTCGCAACACCGCCAGGGTATTGCGACAAACAAAACCTGTACATGTCCATCCCTTCCGGGAGGAGGTACGAGCTCCTACCGAAGGAAAGGCTGTAGCTGGCCGGCTGGCCTCAGAGTGCGAGGGCTCTCACGGCACCTCTTTGCAAAAGGAAAGCACTGCTGGCAGGCCTGCTCAATGGAGTGCACCTACCCGTCAGGGCGGTGGATGCCCTAACGTGTGCTATGCTGTATGCAATCTGCCTGGCTCCTGTGGCACTGCTGGCAGACCTCAAACACGACAAGCTTGCGCGAATGGGCAAGTGTGGAACAGGCCTGGGTGCGATGAAGCTTGTTGCCCTCTGGCGTTGCAAAGAAACGAGTTGGTGGTGGAAGCTGGCGCATTCCTCCCGGAAGCGGTCGCAAGACGCTGTCTCCGTGCGGTCCCGAAGACGCTGCAGCTTGCGTGCCTTTCGCGGGCTTAGCGACACACTGCTCGTGCCGAAGGCTCTGCGTAACAAGAAGGCAAAACCCCACTTCAGAAACTCCCACAAACCAATGGCACAAAATGCGAGACCGAAAATGCACACTGCAAGCAATCCGGGCAGAAATCTCTGAGAGGGAAGCAGCGGCCAGTTCCTCACAGCGTCTTGCGACCGCTGCATACCATGGCGCACACTGAGGCGGAGATTTTACACGCAGAAACAAGAACCAGTCAAGTTTGTGCTACTTGGTTAGGCTTGGCACCTACAACTATGTGAAATGCTGTACATACTTGAAATGATGTCATGCTCAA